CCGTCACCCCTGGCCACACGGCTGTCCCCGAACGCCCACTCCTCCTCTCTGGCACATCTCTGACTGCACATCTGCAAGTCTGCGCCCTGTACCGGCTCTTGCTCATCCTGAGGAACTCTTAAACCCATCAGGACCCATCAAAGGCTGAGTGAGCAGGCTGATGTGGGAGTCCTGTGACCTCCGTAGGACAAGTCACAGGAGGGGACTGTACTTGGGGTTCCAGAGGGCTGACCCTCACTCTGTCACAGGCCGGCTGCTCCTCTAATGAGCCATCTACCACCTCAACTCACACTCCGGGCACCTTGAGAAGCAGGGTGGAGGGAAGCCCCCCATCTGGAAGTCCTGGAGGACTGAGAGATGGCCCCAGTGATTGCCTGGGGGAACGGTGAGTGCGGTGGGCAGGGGACCCAGTTCCTGTGCAGGAACCTCCCCCTCCGACTCTCCATCTGAGGGCAAATGAAGACCCTGTGCTCACCGGCTCTGGGTTCAGCTAGAGGAGAGGGATCATGCCCGTTTGATGGATAAGAAAACCTAGGCTTAAACCCTCAGCAGCTTCTTGTGGTCACATACTTGGAGGGGGCATGTTCACTCAACACTGCATCCCATCCCCCTCCTCTTGTAGCCCTGGCCATGGCCTTCTGCACCCCAACAGCCTGGCCATGACCCCCTGCCTCTGATAGGCCTGCCCATGACCTCCTCCCCCTTCTCTGACATCTTAGCTAGTCCTCTGACAGCCCGTGATAGCCCTGGCTGTGACCTTCCCCACCCTGACATCCCTTCCTCTGATCGGTCTGGCTGTGTGACTCCATCCCCTTACCCTTGTAGCTCTGGCTGTAATCCCACCATGGCTGTGTGAACCGCCCACCTCTGAGGGCCCTGGCCATCACCCCTCTCCTCCCTTGATAGCCCTGGCTGTGACCTCCCCCACCCTGATGGCTCTGGCTGTGACCCCTTTTGATAGTCCTGGCTAAGACCTTCCTCTAAGAGCCCTCGCTATGAGCCCCCTCCTTTGAGAGACCTGGCTGGGCTGTGACCCTTGGAGAGGACTGGTCAAGACCCGCTTGGTTATGACTCTTCTGATAACCCTGGCCGTGACCCTTTGAGAGACCCGGCCATGACCCCTCTCCTAGCCCTGGCCACGCCTAAGCCACTGTGACCCACTTCCCTAGAACAGGCAAGGGTTTATACCGACAGGTGTCCAGCCTCAGGTCGGGGACAGGGCGGGAGCCCGGCGTGGGGAAGCAAAGGAATCTCCTTATGTGCTTAACCAAGCCCTGAAGATGGAGGGCGCATCTGGTGCAGCCCGGGGCTGGGGCTACTCAGAGCTTGCAAACCGTACGGTTCGCCTGGAGGCGAGCACTGGTGGTGTTTTGTGGTGACCTGCTAACCTGAAGCTGACGGTTTACACCTACCCAGTGGTTCTGCAGAAGGAAGGCCGGGCAAACGGCTTCGGTAAAGATTACAGCCCAGAACCCCCCAGTGGGTTAGTTCTATCTTGGCTCAATGGCAATGTGCTTGGTTTTTGGCAAAATTTACCAACAGGTGTGAGCTGTGTCCACTGCTTTGATATAATGGGGTGACCCCCAAGCATGGTGGGCCCATAAGACCCAGGATCCAGGCTTCACTTTTCCTTGGCCTTTCTGCCTTTGACCACAGCCCCTTACTCTTCAGGGTGGGATCCAGAGAGTAAACACAGCCATAGCTCGACCCTGTGGCCTCCTGGTCAGATCACGCCCCTCCGCTTGTTCTGTAGCATGTGGGGGGCGGAGTGCTCTTCCGAGGGCCTCAGGAACTTTCTAGACCATTGATGAGCCCGGTGAGATGAGAAGGCTGAGAACTCCATCTTATTCCACAGATTGGGAAACAGAGGCTACAAAGGTGCAGTGCAGGGCGGCAGGTGTGTGTGGGGCCAATTACAGGTGACAGATGTGATGGAATTATTCAGCGTGTACCTAGTCTGGGGCCTTCATTGCTTGGTCCCTTCCACACTGGCCTGGCTGTTACACAAGACCTCTGGGCTCTGCTCCTGCCTCCCTCCGTCGCTGCTCTCTCCCACCTACTCCCTAGAGTAGGCCTCTCACTCCTGCCAGGCCTCTCTAGACCACAAAAACCAAGCCCAGTGTCACCAAGCTGATCTCATCTCACAGCGACACCATAGGACAAACCTGCACTGCCCCACAGGTTTCTTTACAGGAAAGAGCTCTGGTGGCTTAGTGGTAAGGAATTGTGCTGCCAGCCCAAAGGTACATGGTTTGAATCGACCAGCTGCTGCGTAGGAGAAAGATAGGCAGTCTCCTCCCTTGTGATTTACTGCCTCTGAAAACCCACCGGAAGGTCAGCTATGAGTCAGGGCCCACTCGATGGTATGCAGCAAGAGCTTTTACAGAAGCAGATCACTACATTATTTTCCCACAGATTAGCTAGTGGTTTTGAACCGCTAACCTTTCAATTAGCAGTCAAGCACTTAACCAGTGCACCACAGGGCTCCCGATTTTCTCTGTGTTCACAGTGAGGGCTCTGCTTCTATGCAATTCATGCCATTTTAAACAAGATGTATAAAAGGATCACAAAACAGCAGAATAAAATAGCTCAAGATGGCAGCATTCCTTCCACTGGCCAAGTGGGCAGTGGGTGTGTACTGCGTGGCCTCTGGCCTTCTTAGCCCCAAAGCAAAACTTACTGCTGTAGCGTTGATCTGATGCATGATAACCCCATAACCCTGTGGGGTTCCCTTGGCTTTTACGTGTTTATGGAAGGAAACTGCCTTTTTCCTGGACAGACCCTGGTGGATTCGAACCACTAACTTTTCAGCTA